GTATTCATACATATATAAATAACTCAGTTTAGAAAAGTGGTATATATCTGCCCGAGTAACTAATCACTAATCAATCACATTGGAGAGTGTTGGGGAAACTTCTCTGTACTGGTCTTACAAAACACTTTGTACTGTAAGTAGTTAAACAACAGAAAAGCTACCCTAGGAAGAAAGCTTTATAAATTAATCATAACCTTAACTAATTTGTAAAAAAAAAAAAAAAAAAAAAAGAATATCAGCCTATCATAATATCCATGGGAAAGTGCAGAAATGTTTGGTTTTTAATTTTTTGTCTGTTATTCTCAGATTGTATGACTCACAAGTAAAACATAGGTCAGAGGAGCTTGTTAGTTCCATATATGCTCAGCATGACAAAGGACTCTAAATGTATATGAAAAGATACTTTGATTTACACATTAGTGTGATTTCAGAGTGTTATACTTATATATGGGAGACATATATACATATAATAATGACCCGAATGCACAATTGTGAGCAGAAAAGGTTTAGCCAAAGTGACACACTCACCATAAACCTTTCCCAAGAACAGCGTCTTGACCAGGTTAAACTGTGTGTCTGAGTCTTCAGGGAGGTTGTAGCTGACTGCAGGATAATGATCCAGCTGAGACATGACAGAGATATAAAGAGATAGTGAGAAGGAAAGAGGGAGGGAGAGAAACACATTAGCATCCTTGTTTCATAGGGAGTCGAATCTAGACTAAAACTACTGACCACAGCATTTTGAAAAGACCCAGGCTAAGATCTGCATCAGCACATTAAGCAGAGTACACAAGATGATGAACAAAAGACGGTAATTCAATGCTGTCAGCCAATGCAAAGCAACACAGCACAATCAGAAGCTCAATGGTCCCCCCTCGTGGTTTCCAAACGCCAGGAAAGCTTTAAATATGGTAGCTTAGTAACAAGGAAACCACTCACATAGTCATACCTTGATTATCCTTCATTTTAAATTCCCATGAATCCTGATCAGGTCAGTGAAAATGAATTAAAAACACTTTGCAAAAATCAGGTAAATAGGATGAACACATATTGCGTCTAATACTAACCCGAGGCTGTTCCTGATTTCTTTTTTCTTCTGGCGTTTCTACACACATCATATATAACTACACTCTTCAAACAATGACCATAAAATCTGAGTGTTAGAAATGTCTCTGGACCAAAAAACCCCCCAAACAAAACATGCAATTACCTACATCTACCGCTTCTTCTTACCATTTGCTATAAACTATAACCCTGTTTAAAATATCACCTTAGATGTATATATTCTATAAACACTCCAACATTAAAATCCATCATGGTTTTAAAGATGTCAGACTACCTCAAACATCTTTTCTGGAAAGCTGTGATATTTTCGTTTTAGTCACGTCTGAAAAGTCATCTTCTACAATTATCCAGCAAACAAACAGCTCTTCCCTAGAAATAAACGATGATACAAATGATGCCTAATAATAATATGCAATTTCAAAAGTCTGTGGGGGGTTCAAAGGCATTCCTGAGAACTCGAAAAGGGCGGGTGGAAGACGAGCAGCGTGTTTACAAAGAGGAGCATCCGTGGAGATGTGAGAGCAGAGAGGGTGATAGAAGGAGGGAATGCACGACTTTAATATCCCTGCAACATAATTAACTTGTTATTGCTGTTTCAATGAAGTTTCTAATTAGCTTGAAAGCTGCAGCCGATGCTATTGATGAGAATAATTTCAAACCAACAAATTGGTTTTCGGTGTGTTCTAGAATAAAAACCCCCCAAAAAACAAGATCTTCCTTCTTTCCTTCTCCCTGCCCACAGGAGGACTGTATCTAAGCATAAACCAGTCTGCAGAAAGCAGACTGGAGTAGAGGAGTTTGGTTGGAAACAATGACTTTTGTTCCTGGAAATTTGTTCTGTTGATGTGCTGAATAGCTGTCACGGCCTGTTAGCTGGGAGCTGAGCTGGACTGTCACTAAAGGCCTGAGATTTACGTGTGTATGTGTGTGGTAGTGCTTGTTTACAGGTTTAAATCAGCAGAGTCCTGCCATACAGAAATTTCTTTCTACCCACTGCTGCGCAAGACTATTTTCTCCCTCTTTCTCCTCACACGCACACACACGCACACATGCAGACACACAACATATCCTAATTTGATTCCTTCCAAAAGCCTGGTCTCAGTGGAGCATTGTGTGGGTTTTGTTTTCCTCTGTGACTGGAGGGTGGGATAATGGGGCACAATTAAATTGCGCTCAGCTTATTTACTTTTATCTGAGAAAACAAATTGACTGCACAACCACGGAGGGAAGCTTGAGTCTTGAAACCCCCACAAAACGATCCACTGAGGAAGACGGCCTGGGAAGAAACCTCATTTTACCAAACTTTGTCAATTACAACCGCAGTCATTGGGATCTCTTTCCTTTTTTCCTTTCTTTCTTTTTAACACAGTGCCATTTAGAAAACGCAGTTGCTGCCTCTAAAGTCACACATAGCTTACATAAGCAAAGTAACCAGGGGTTAGGCAAAGAGAAAATTAACAAAGGGTGAAATCTATTTCCCTGACTACGTGCTAAAAAAGAATCTAATTTAGCCAATGTGCTGTTTATATGCAAACTCATTTACAGTGCACTGAGAGCCTTTTTACCTTCGTGGCACCTCTGTTTCCTTAATGATGTCTAAGGGATAAAAATACTCCCATCACAGATTTAACACTGAAGAAAAAGAAATGCTAATTTTCCTCTTGAATAAATTGTTTAACATCATTATTAAGTGAACTGCTGAATTTTCGTCTGGTCCGGGTCTCAGGTGCAGCAAGCCATTTACACCGCTGAGTCAACCAATGAAGCAACTGGAGGAGAGGAGAAGAGGAAACGGAGATGAGCCGTCTGCTGCCTGAAGGGACTCCTGACTTTCATCTCTAAACCCTCACAGTGTGAGAAAGGCAAAGTGAGAGATGGCGAGATGGGGAACTTATTTTAATCTCGCCTTGGCGCTCCTTTGATAGCGAGCTAACCTAACGAGACCTCACAGGCTGCTCGAAAACCAAACACTCTCCTCTGTTTGCTGCACTCTGTATGCCTGGGTGTACATGTCAGCACGTATTTTGTGTTCGCAAGCGAACGCCTCACCTTAAAGTAATCCTCAAATAATCTCAACGTATCAAAGTGATCTTTGTCATTATATTTTGTGGGTCTACTTTCTTTATCTAACAACAGTATCTGTTTCTTTCAAACCCCTTCTCCCCCTCTCTCTGGCTCTGTTCTGCCTTTTTCTTTTGTCCTACATTTCTCTCTGACTCTCGTTTCTCTTTCTGATTCAAATTACCACACGCTGACTTGTCTTGCCACATTTTCTCTGCTTTGTCTTTAAACTAAACAGTCGCTTGTCTAAATGGCTTTAAGATTTGGAGCCCTGATAAGCAGAGAAGTGAGGCCTCTGCACCCTGAGGTAAACAGTCCACTGCTTCTTATCCCTTTTTTTTAAATTTGGGGAAATTGAATTTGATCCACTGCCAGCCCCACCAGCACAACTGACTTTTATTGCATCTGACTCATATCTCTGCCTCTCACTCATTTTGTTATCTCGGATGCTCGCAACTAGGCCTTTGATGAGCGTGTGCACAAAAATAATAACAGGCTAGTTCCATTTTCAGTGCTGATGGCAGCTACTGACAAAACTGGCATTTTAGGCTTTAATGCATTATTCAATAAATTAAAAAAACAAAACAAAAATTCAAGCCTTGGAATTAGCCAGTAGAGTTTCCAGCATTCAAAAGCAGTTATTAAGCATCTCAGCATTTGCATGCAGTTCAGTACACTTCATATGTTCTGTACACTTCAAACGACTCGCCGTCAAAGAGTGACCGAAGCTGTGCGATCATCTCGTAGAAAAAGGTCATGTTTGCACCACGCATGTGTTCTAAGATGAATATTTATACACAGGCAGGTGGAACAAACTGATAAAACAACACTGACATAGTATCACACTTTATATATCACTCACAGTTGCCCCATTTTTTCTAAATGATAAAGAAGATACAAATATTTGATGATCACCTTTAAGGGTTTTAGGGTTTCTAAATATTTTGCTGACTTCTTCATGCTTTACTATCCTGACTTTGGTCCTGAGTCATTCTTGGAGGCCCCTCATGGAGCATAACTGCAACGTAAACGACACAGGGCCATTTGGCAGGTCTGAAAAATGCTTTATAAATGGATGTTATGGTTATGATTACAAAAAAAAATCATCATATAGTCTATAATAAGGTGAAGGACTAATGCTTCAGTGCACCTTTCAGTTGATATTTCAGCCATTAGTTATTATTTTAATCATTAGTTATTATTAATCTCTTGCAATCTTCTACAATGTGTCTGAGAGTTCTTCCTGTTAAAAGGGAGTTTTTCCTTTCTACTATTGCCATTTGCTTACTCACACGGGTTCTCTAATTGTTGGGTTATGGTATTTACCTTAAAATATAAAGCACCTTGAGGCGACCGTTGTTGTGATTTGGCACATTTCAATGGATGGATGATACACCATGCTGCCTAAATATAAACGCTGCTTCGGTCCTCTGATGATGGGCATGGAGAGCGTTACTGAACACATCGGTCTAAATAATCCCACAGGTGTTGAAGTGGGTTGAGGTATGGAGACTACGGCCATAATATATGATTCACATCATTTAAATAAATACTCATACAAATCATTGACCCCTGGTGCTGGTGCTGTCATTTTTGAACGAAACTACTCCCAGGTTCAAAATTTTTCATCCAAAGATAAAAGCTGGTCACTCAGAAACAAACTGACTGACTGACTTTTGCCATCTTTCCATGTCTTTCTATTCTTGTTAAATGGACCCAGCCTTTGGAATTAAAATACTGCCACCCATGGAATAAACAGAATAATCACACACTCTCAGTGCAGTGAGCAAAGTGTGCCAGCAGATGGACAGCCAACAGGCCTTGCCTACAAAAGCATAGAAAGGTTACTCTTATTTTCACTTCTTGTGGCAAAAGGTGCCTTTTCTGCATAAATTGGGACATGATGCCAAAGTAAAGACAGTAATTTTTGTATACACATAGTTATACTGTTATACTTGCATCCACAAGTATCTAGGTCTTAGAGTTATAACCCCACTGATGCTGACTGCTTACTGCCTACTAATGCTTAGCGTGGTTCCTTGTTGTTGTTGCAGTCCTCCTGAGGAGAACATGTACTGTTCTTTGTTACTCATTAGTGCAACCTGCAGACAAGGCTGATTTTGAAAAGAAAAGTAGAAAAAAATTGCTCTGAGTTATGAGAGAACCTTTGGGAAGTAAGGAAAGCTATACAGTATTGGAATGGACAGATGAGTTAGACTGAATAATGTTGATTTTTGTAGTGCAGTGTGAAGCCTTTGTAGTTAGCTGATCTGACAGGATCTCAATAGTGCAGGCGTGTCTGTTGGTATGCAAGTCTGCGTCTGTTTACGTGCGGCTATCAAGTGCATGTACCTTGAAAAGAGCCCTGAGGCGGTAAGGCAACATGAAAAAGTTTCACTCATCAAAGTTATCTTTGTCAACGTACCTTCTGGCTCTACTTCTCATTCCTTATCTGTAAACTTCATCTATTTTCTCTCCTCATCTCCCCACCCCGCAGATCACTCATCGATGCCTTTTTTTTCCTTAAATCTAAATGACCACATCGTGCCCATCAGTGTTCGTCTGAATTCTTAACACACTTTAATGTTTAACTGTTAACCTGTTATAAAGGGAGAAAAATTTAATAAAGGATTGTTTTTCTGTTTTCTTTTTTAAAGTACAGCCGCAGCACCTCGAAAGAACCACACTGGGATTTTGTACTATAGAGTTAGTAGTTCAGTCACATACTCAAGGCAAGACTGAACCTCGACACTGTCGATCTAGACACAGCTAAGCTGCTTTCAATCAGCGCAGAGCACACTGTGTGCATGTATGCATGTGTGTGTGTGTGTGTGTGTGTGTGTGTAAGTGATGAGCAAGGAGTCTAGCGGATGCTCCAATCACTTTCCATGCCACTACGAAAGCATGTGTTATGTTAAAGTACTCCCAGCGGAGTGATGAGCAGCTACAGGAATGCGATTTGCTTAGAAAACGATTATCATTGGATGTTTCAGTTTAATTTTCTTGCTGTCTGAAATTTTTCGCTGCAGTGTGTGAAAGTAGGTGATGAGATCCCAGGATGGATGAGGTCATTGCTTCATGCAGGTGACAGACAGAGAGGGCTGTAGTAGTGTAGATTGAATGATTACAGGCTTGGGAGTATGGGACTGTGATTCATTGTAGTTCGCATTTAATTCCACTTAATGAAAGCAAGAATTAAAAGACTTCATGTTAGATGCATATTCTGTTTAACAGTGTTGAAACCGAACTTTTAGAATTTATATTAACATTTGACTGTTTCATTCTTTTCCTTAATGTCTATATCCTCTAAACATAACAATGACAGCATCTGCAAAAACATCCTGCATTTGAACATATTCATATTTACATGTTCAAATGCAGAAATGAACTGGATAATCTCAACAATGTCTCCCTGCACGTAACATACATATTCTTTTTTTAATTGTTTTGCAAACTTTTGATGTGTTTATTTCATAACAATTATGCTAGTAATGATATGATGATGAATAGAAACTGTAAGCAAAACTGCTGCTATATTAATTATCACATGCTCTTACACAACCGCAGCTTGAAGCTTTGAGCCAAGCAATTTTTCACAGAGGATGGGAATCATTTTATAGCTAAGTTGAATGCTATGGTGCCTTCTGGCCACTAGAGGGGAGTGATGTGTGAAGGGCTTACCCATTTAATAAGGGGTGTCAAATATAAGGACAATGGGCCACAATTGGACGTGCAAAGACTGTAATACATCCCATTATACAGTTTTGGAAAACGCGAAGAAGAGCTTAGATGTTGAACTTTTACCTGTATTTTCATAGGTTTTACAGCTTTTCCTAATAATATTTCCCTGTGGCCATTTATACTAAAGTAAAGTAATAGATAAGCGTTTAAATGGAAGAAGAGTGCCTGTTTTTTCTTTATTGACTATAGAAATGTTTTTTTAATTGTTTTTGTTTTGCAAAGGCTCAAGAGTTTAAGAAAAAGCACATTTTTAGTGACTTAACAAAACTTTCTACTTGTAATTACAGGACAGTCTGGGCAATGAGCCAGCAGAACGTTTTCCATAATCTTGCACATTTATTCCTTACACTTCAAGTCATGCTGATGGATTTCTTTCAATTTCTATATAGCAAAAAAACTGTAAGTTTTGTTAAAATTGCACTTCTTCTTCCTAAAAATAAACATGTAGTTCAACATCTTTACACTGACAGAAAGGGAAGTTTCACTTCAGATCAACGTGAGCTGTATCTGATCCTTGATGGAAAATGAGTTTGACATCCATGATCTCGATTCACGGGGTTTCCTGTGCGTATAAGGAATATAAATATGCCCACAGTATGAAATGGTTAAGCCATTAAAGTGTCTGATATTATCAGTATATTACGTTAGTGTGCAGATACAGTATTTAAATTACACATTCTATAGGAAGCCATGCGGAAACTGTTGTTTAATTTTAGAATCCAAGACCATTTGTTTCTTTTTATTTCTCATTTCTTGTGACAATCCATTTCTTGGCAAACCCCGACCTGTCAGTGCAAATATGAATTTATTCCGATCTGGATGCAATCAATCTCTGGCTTTTACAAGTGGCTTCTATCCATTTAGAGCCCTCCTTAAACTCCAGCCTGCAGCCAAATGTGTGCATCTTAGCCCAGAATAAAGCCAGTAATAGTTTAGCTGAATTCTCACTCCATCCTTGACAGCTACTGACTAGGCTTGGCTGTATCGATCAGAGCTAAGCTGTTCAGTCGCACAAAACACACGAGCACATAAAATGCACACAACGGCAACATGGATATAAGTAATTGATATGCACAAACACATGCACACGCACAAAATATCCCACACAAGCACATGCATTTAATTATCAGCATAGAGGAAAGAATTTGTGGAGTTGCAAACACACAACAATATGCGCTTACGCGAACACACACGCGCGCACAGATCGATGCGTTCTCTGTTGCTATACTTAGGCTGTCTACTGGAAGTAGATTAACAGTGGCAAAGGACAAGCAGTTTCATCACAGGTGAAAACAGCACAGGACACTGCACTCCTCTCTGACTTACTGCAAACCATTGAGCTAACACTTCCTGCGCTCGTGTAGTTCTGTACCCGTAACTGAGAATATGTGAGTGTTTTTAATTTGTATGGGACCCAAAAGTCCCTGTGCTGCACAGTAAGTTGAAATGTAATCCTTACTCTGAGTAAAAGACTAAAATAAGAGCTCAGATGAGCACGCGTGTTGGTTCTGTACCTGGATGGTGATTCTCCTGTCGTGACGGGACATGTTAATACTATGTGGCTGTCCATTGGCCAAGTTACGCTGGTCCACATCTATGGTGAACGGCTCCCTCAGACCACCCAGGTTATATCGCACCTGCAGCGAACCTGGAGACGTACAGATACAGCAGTTTAAAATCTCAGACACTAGGTGGCGCAGTCAGTTTTTTAGGCCTTAAATATCATCAAAGCAGTTTTCTGTCAGCTGCTGCTCCGTGGTTGGTCGTTGACTAAGGAGGATTTTTGGAGATTATACCAATGTGTGCTGCAAGGAAGACGTTTAAATGTTGTCTGCAGTGGTGAGCAACAATTTAATGTGCGTGTGTGTGTGTGCTGCGTGTCAGCCTTACCATTCTGTCTTAACACCACGGCAAGATAGTCCTGCGTCTTGGAGCTCACGTACATCAGAACAGCTGGAGCACTGGATGTGCTGAAACTAAAGGCCACCTCCTCCTTTGTTAGATTCACCTCATGTGGTGTGAGCTGGTGCGTCAACACCTTGGTGTCTTTACTGGCTCCCGCAATGGCTTCAGGCAGGAAGTTGTACTTTACCAGCGTCCCTGCCTCAAAGAAACCTCCAACATCTGGGTGAGATGATGGAAGAAGGAACAAAATGTAGGACCAAAATTAAGCTCTCACTCAAATGCAATAAATGTTGCTTGCTTCAACTGTACTGTGTTGTAATGTGCGCTTAAAACACAAGCAAGCAAGAAACCAAGAAAGAAAGAAAGAAAGAGAATTTTCCATCAAAAACAAGCCACAGGGAGCCACTCACAAGCTCATAGATGCAAAGACACAACAGGGTAGACATATTATATAGCCAGAGGGGAATAAACACACACATAAATAAGGCTGTGTTCAGATGATGTAGTAAAGCGAGTGTTAAATTGCTGTAGTCCAGCATTTGAAACCAAACAATGCACTGTTTACCAGTACATTAACAAAGCTAATGGCATATTTCAACCATACCAGGAGGCTTATTGATTCTCATAATCAAATATCGAGAAGACGAGACCTTATTTTTCTATAGTCTATTTCTGTTACACTCCTTGTTTGTGTTCGTGTGTACGTGTACTCATTCGCCATGTCTGCGAGTCAGTTAAAAAGGAGATAAAGGCATAATACGTGTGAAATTAAAGAGAATGGTTGCAGGGAAAGCAGAGAGAATAGGGTTGAGTGCGTATGTGTGTGTGTGTATGTGTGCAAATGCCACGCAATATGCCTCAACATGTTCTCCTTCCCTCTGCAGCCACGGTGAAATGTAAAATTACAGCCCTTACGGGTCCAGAATTTCAAGCGAACACATTTATGCATCTTTTTTAAAGCTTCACTTCACCCATCAGCTCCCACCAGACACAGTACAATAAATACTTCAAGCTACATTACTTTAATTTAATAGAACACTTATTACTTGAAAATGGGTAAGTTCTCTGAATAGTATTGCCACAGAAGCAAAATCTCAGCTCTATTCAGGTTACCTACCAATTTTATCCTTTATTTAGCTTTGCAATCATATAGTTCCAAGCCTCAGAAGTCTGGAGAGGCCCATTTTAGCAATCTTTTTGTATTAACTGAACTTTATTGTTATGGGTAAGCTCAGATATTCCATATTAGAAAGTGCTATCCTCCCTAAACCTGTCAAACTACTTTTAAATTTGACAAAATTAACTTAAAAAATGATGTGTTTAGACAAATGTAAACCTAGCTTAAACATGGTTAGGAAGAATTACCATAGTAAATAAGAATTATTTATTTATTTCATTTAAATATTCATAGAGCAGCCATTCCCAAAGTCAAGAAGACATATCCTATCTATTCCTATTTTCACTTTAATAAAAAAAAACATTTCCTTGAAATTCTTTATTTGAAAAACATAAACAGCAATGTTGGCCAATGTGTGACCACCTGTGACTCGGGCACAAACTTCAATGTAAGAGCAGATTATTACCTGTTTGATCAACATTTTATATAAATGAATGAATTAAATGTAAATGCTTTTAAATAAACTTCAAACTGAATTTCTGTTATTACTCAAGCTCACCTGCAGTACCTTTGCAGCCCTCCAGGGGGCCCTAGCCAACCCTTTGGGAATCACCGACATAGAGTATTTTATAGTTAGCAGTTTATGCAACCACATTGGCAGAAATGCTCATTTACTCATTTCAAAGTATTTACTTATATCTTTTATACTGTCTATGATGACAAGGTGAGTTTTTCTTCTACTGTCAGTAACAAGTACTAACAATCATTGTAGTCTATTAAGTATAATGAACTGTGTGTGTGATGACACCTGTTAGCTCTATTTAGTGATGTGTTCATGTAGTATATAATATACACTAGAAACAAACTCATGTAAGTCATGGAGAGCATTTTCACATTTAAAATACTCTCACAGTAAGTTTTTTCTCTTTCCTACTGGGGAAAGAAGGAAAGAAAGTACCCCAACTTGTTACCCAGAGCTTCAGTAGCAACACATAAAATTGTCTGGAACCTTAATGGGGTATGAGCAATGCTGCAGAGCTGGAGCTTTTCGTGTGTGTGTGTGTGTGTACTTCATGTCAGTATGAGAAGAAGTTTCGGATGTGGATTCTGAGCAGTGCAAATCTCAACAGGTACATGTGCAATTGCATTTTTGCAAGTTTTAGCGTGCGTGCGTGTGTTCATACGTATGTACATGTGCACACCAGCTCCACGCGAGACCCTCAAGGGCAGAAAAGCAAAAGAATGAGAGTGTATAATAACAATACTGCAGGGTCCCCTGAGCAGTGTGTAAATATGGATACAATGGAAATGCACTATGCAATTATGGCTGACTTCATGCATTTTTCACTAGCTGGGAGGATGGGGAGAGAGTGGTACATTAAAGAGAGGGAAAGAGAGAAATTTGGGAAAGGGCAGAAAACTGAGAAACCAGGAGAGGGGCAATTGAGAGAGGAGCGAGAAAATAAGTGTGGCAAAGTAAGAAACGGAGGAGGAATAAGTGGAATACATATTTATGGGGACAAGAGTAAAATAATTGTAAAGGAGTGGCAGGAGAAAAGAAAAAACAGAGCATAATAAATGAGGGGGAAAAAGTAGCAAAGACACAAAGAGGACAGTGAGTCCAAATGAAAGGAAAAAAAAACTGTAGCAGAGTGAGGGAAAAAAGGGACACAAAGGAATGAAAGGAGGAAATAGATGATGAAGTCACATGTCATCAATGTTCCCTCTAAGCTGCGCGCGTGTGCAATTGTGCACTGCTGGCACGGTCTCTGCGCACAGAAAATCTGCGTTGCGCACAAAAAAATAATAAAAATAAAAATAAAAATCTAACCTGTATTGAAATTAAAATTAAAACTTTAACAATTCTGCTTTGCAGTGTTAGTAAGTGACTGGCTGCTCCCATATAGGATTAGAACGATGCCACCTTATCCCATAGTCCAGCCAATAACGCGATTCACATTCGTATATACGCAGCAAATCAACGTTGTTGACAGGCTATGACAACTAGTGATGTGCGGATCGATCCTGAAATATCGATTCATTTATGTTCTAGAATCGATTCTCACATTAAAATATCGATATTTTAGTAATTTAGGGGAAATTTGTAGTTTATCATTAACAGGAACACAGTGGGAAGAACCTATTTCATTCGGTTAGTCTACATTGGAAGGAACTACTAAATTCACCAGAGAAACACACACACACACACATGAAGAGAGGGAGAGTATGCATAGTATGCAAACGGCTACCAAACAGCCATCATAATTCGTCGTACATTGAGAACAGGACAAATCAACAATTGACAATGACTAATTAATATTAAAATCTGTAACATAATGTATTGTTTGGAGTTTAGTCTGTTACTGTTGCTATTTTTACCATTTCTCTTTGGAGCAACTGTAACCCACATAATTTCCTTCGGGATTAATAAAGTGTTCTGATTCTGATCATTTCAGGATGACCTGCCATTATCCAATGACACATCTGCTTATCTGTATCTTTTGCTCGTTTCTCCTCCTCTTCTTTTCTATTTTTTCTAAACTGAGCACCTTATGGCTTTGAACTTTGCTTTTCCATCTTCCATTGGTTTTAATTTTGGACTGCAGTATGAACACAAATCCCCCAACTCGAGGATCGCCACAACATAACCTAATAGGGCTTTGGAGTTGACGTCACGCGCAATGCATTGTGGGAGCGCGGCACCCACAATGCAATGCGACCTACACCTTAGTTCACAGATTCACTTTGTCTAAGGTATATTTCTGGGATTTCACACAACCCAGGATTCAAATCATGAATACATAATGGGCTTGGATTTACAACATTATGAATGAAAAAATTATGAATGAAATGTGCTCTATTTGGAGGCAGCAGGCCTCCCTCCCCTTTCCACGGGTTGTGTGTGAGACATTAAATCATCAAAATATAAAATTTAAATTTTAAATTGTTATTGATCCCTTTACTCCTAGTCCTACAGTGTATATTTATTTTCTTACTCTTCTTATATTTATTGTTTGTTTACTTGCACTGCTGTAACTGGAGCCTCGTCGTTTCGTCTCTCTCAATAGTGTACTGCATGCAGCGGAGATGACAATAAAGTTTACTTTGACTTCAGCAGCGAGCAGGCGCACTGAGGGCTCTCGCGCTCACTTTTCGCGTACAGAATTTCGGAAAAACATCGGTGCAAATTATAAGTCCCCCGCCGCCCCGCCCTCTCCTCCCTGTGCCGCAAGCAGCAGGCGCACCTTGCAAACGGAGGGCGCCCTTACTTCCAGCAAATGGGTGATAGAAAACCAATCGGTGCCCATGCCATTCCCAATATGCGCTGGCTGATGTCGGGCAGCATGAGTACGAGCAATTTATTTATTTATTTTTTGCCGATGCCCCACCACGATGCCGCCCCGGGCAGCCGCCCGTGTCGCCCGTATCAAAAACTGCTACTGCTCAGAGTAAATCATATCACAGAATATGACGAGCATATGTTGAGGCGAACTGAAGACGAGGAGTGGACATGGACAGGTGCTGCTAGGGCGAGACAGACGTCTCTCACGGAGTCCTTTAGTGTGGCAGGCAGGCAAGGTGTTCAAATAGCACACAACTTCAGTTTTTTTTATTTCAATATGATGAATTCTGCATTATTAAGTGATAATAACAACTAATCTGATGACCTGTAATCATTATGATGCTATCATTTGAGACACAATAAATAAAATACGTTTTTGTATAAAGTATTGGTATCAGATCAGATCGATACCACCCTGAATTTTACTTTCAGTGGTATCGCACATCACTAATGACAGCGTCCTTATGTGCCGACACCGGTGTTTTAGCTAGCAAAGCGGTGTGGCTGATGTGGAGTGAAGCCACGTTGATGACAATGTGTACAACCATTGGAGATGTGAGCAGGACAGACGGAACAATTGTGTGGACTTTTTAAATTGTGTTGATAGGCCACGTAAAACCAGAGTTATGATAAAAATATATGCAATGTTTGGTTTTTTTGGTTTACTTTCATTGTTTATATTTACTGCGGGAAGAAACGGTAAAAAGGCATTTTTATAAGGAAAAGGCTTGAAAGCGCTTACACATATAGCACAAACATTACATGGGGATACAGGTCGGAGATTGGCAGAATCAGAGAAAAAACATTGAAATGTACACTACAATGGGGAAAGTACAAGAGGAAAAAAAGAGACCCCTACTCATGCTATGCTTCCATGGTAGGACAGCATGAGAACAGGAAACAAAAAAACTCCTCTGCACAAAAAAGCACATAAATGCCCACAGCACAACATTGTGAAGACATGACAAGACGTGCCATCATGGCACCGGATACCGGTACCCATCCCTAAACTTGGATAGATTCAATGCTGGAGTGACCACAGTGCACACGTCTAAAGGACCGCTCAGGGAGTTTGTGTGTTCGCTCAGACACGTGAAAAAATTAGAGGGAACATTGCATGTCATGCACAAAAACAAATAGACACAAGGGTGTGCTCTCTCCCTTTCTTTGCCTCTCTCTCGCTCTCTCTCTCTCTCACACACACACACACACACACACACACACACACACACACACACACACAGTAATCTTTATTCTCTAAATCCTGAAATGCCTGATTGGTTATGACAGAATTCTGAGGAGGTCTTTTCATGTCTTACACTAGCATATCACCACACACTGTCACCCTCCTCCACACCACACACACGCACGCAAGCCCACACCAAGACACACATTCTGCCTTTCTGTCATCTTGTCACCCCCCTGCCAAGAACACAGGGGGGAAAACACCATTCGACTTTAGGAAACAAATTAATTCACGTGTCGGGGATCAACTTCCTGACTGGGAGCGAGCAGAAAGCCTCTGACAGCGCCGCTGCTCTTCTCCCGAGAGAATTTCATGAAAACTTGTTTTGGGAAATAGAACTTTAATAGTGTATCTAATGAATCCCGGTGAAACAAACACGATGCTTTAGCAATATGCAACAGCGCAGAAGCAGAGTTACAGTGTGACACTGCTTGTCTGTGATCTTCAAAGAAAACATCAGATCACTAGACACACCTCTTACTGAAGTCACTCACGCTTTGTTTCTGAGTTTGATCTCTCAGCTCTGCATTTGCACAGTATCAGCATTCAGCGAGAGCACTCTAAAGTGAGGGAGAATTGGTGGGTAAGCATAATATTACCCTCAATCGATGCCTTTTATCGCAAGCCCAAACACTTTCAAAAACGACAGCGCCAAACTGAATAGGAAGTGGGGCACGATCACAAAGCGCAGCGACAATCACGGTGGGTTGTCGGGGAATGAAGCTCATTGAAACACAACTACTCCAGCGGTAATCCTGGTGCTGTTTGACTCTGGCTTTGTGAATAAAAGAGAAAGCGCAAATGATAACATGATCTCAGAAATATGCCTGCAAAAGTTGTCGGAGAAAATGTTAGCCGAAGGATTATTGCTCAGTGTGTCATCCTTAATTTCCGAGCAGAAAAGCAGTCCTGCAAGGCCAGGAAATGGGAAAACAAAACCTGATGTAAAAGGAAAAAAAAAACCCCTTCAAAACCCACAGAGGGAAAATTTCATTTGTTTTGCACTGAAAGTTTTGAGGACAAAGAAAAGCCAGATGTACATTGTCTTTAAATAGAGTCAAATTGCCTGTCTGAAAATGCCTCTTACCTCTGGTGCAGAACGGACCATTGTAGGCGGTGGCGGTGCAGTCACACAGGTAGCCGTTATACCTCTCCACACACTTTCCCCCATTCCGGCAGTACATCCCAAAACTGTTACAGTGGCCTTGGCAACCGGGCTTGACCCCAGGTGTGACCTTCGCCCTCTCTTCCAGATCGAGAGTGATGCCATTCATTCGTAAGGCTCTGATACATCCCAGGAACCCCCGCTGTCCCCCTGCAGCACCTGAGGACCGGAAGAAGGAGCAGGAAGGAGGGAACGCAGAGGGGGGAAGGATATGTAGCGTCAGGAGAAAAGAAAACAAGGAGGAGAAGGAAGGGAGGACAACTGGAAGTCAGGGTCGCAAAAGTCATTCTGAATGCAAGAGGCTCTATTTTAATCTGTTTTAGAAACATTAATATCCTAATGCCTGGAGGAAGCCACTGATGTCACGCTAATTGTTCTGACTGTGACGCCGTTCTTGAAACAACCTTCAACTCGTTTGATTTCTTCAGTAATTGCAACAGCCTAATGAACACTGTCTCTTAATGAACCTCGCACTAGCATACACATGCAAATGGATGCGCGGATGCACGTAAACTACATGCTCGAGATGAACACACACGTTTTAAAAATGCCGCACAGTGCGCACCTGATTTGAATGAGTCAATGTAAGCATTACTGCTTAGCCTTGGGGTGTCGATAGCCATTCTTCTAAAGTGCTTCCATCGTCATTCTGGCCTTGCACCATTACAGTCTAACTACCCATTAACTTGGACAAAGTAGGGGTGTTAAATAGATTAATGTCGACCTAAATGACCACAGCAATAAACACACTCATAAATATACACCCACAGGTATAGATTCAAAAATACACAAACACACCCACCGAGCATAAATATTCTGTGTGGGTAAACACAAACGTAAGCACGCACACTTGCGCCCACTATCGGAGACGAGAACCGAGGGTCATTTTAGTTATTACTGTAAAACATCTCAAGGGCATCGTCTGGCTTAAGGAAGAGTGTCTATTCAGGAAGACATGTAAAGGAAATGTGAACACACATTCTAGCAGGCGGGGTCGTCCCTCAACAGCTGCACTCTCGCTTATGCAATTTTAGCTTGCCCACATAGGTACAATAGAGGCATAATAAGATTACTAATACATGTACTTTGATTTTCTCCAGCCGATACATTATTCACGTATTGGGATGCAGCTGAGCTTTTGCATGCTTTCTCCTATTTTCAGTCCCATGAAGAATTAGACTTTTAGTAGGCCCCTTAATTAATCTATTTTGTAGTACTGATTGGCTGGAGGTTTCTGCCACCTGTTTACCCAGGTCTGAATCAGTCTCTGATTAAATGGACAGCAGGCTCCGAAGCCTGCGGAGACCGGGGCAGGCACGTATACACACACACACACGCACGCACACACAGTCAGGTGCATACGGTTTCTGTGCTACTCACAAACGCTGTGTAATAGAGCCTGACTGATTGTGACCGCAGTCAATATTGGCTTATCACAGTTACAATCATTTAAAAAAGTAAGTACAGAAATAGAAATAATTGTTTGACACATAACCAAAATAATAGAGCTGATCTGAACCAGCAATAAAGGCGATATGCTCAAAGAAATAACAAAACTGATAACTTGCAGTCACACTTTCCAATCTAAGGAGATCAGGAGATTAGGTGCAGTTTTATTGAAATCTCTGACATGTTGTTTGCTCTCTCCTATCAAAGTCTGTTGCGTAATTATGCCTGAAGCTCTCAAAGACCTTAAGAAAGAAAAAAACCCACTGACATATTATGATATGAGTGTAAGGAACCACCAGTCCCATCGATTTTAAATAGTTAGTCCAGGACTAGATATCCTAGCAAATTTAGCCCAACCAGCATGTTTGATGTAAAAAAAAGAAGTCACCAAAAACCTCTGAATTCAATCACAGGATCTGGAGGAAACTGAGTTAATGTCAAACTACAGATGTGACCTACATGGGTTGGTGTGCCAGGAAAAAAAAGCATGAGCAGCAACTATTTGCCACTGGCTTAGATAGGTCTTTTGCACTGATCTGTTCAGGACAAAGCAATCAAGGATAGTGCTGTTTGGCCACATGTTTGGCACAGGATAAAGGCAGCTTTATTTGAAAAAACCCCTCCACACCAACTGTAAAGCATAGTGGAGGAACAGAGTAGTTTAGGGTTCCTTCACTGCCTCAGGGAGTGGGCAGCTTGCAGTCACTGATTCAGTAATGCAGTCTGCATTTTTCCAAAGTGTGCTTGAAGAAAATGTGATGCCATCTGTCCGTAAGTTAAATTGAACCAGATGTGAACCTCGCACCTGAATATTTATCCTAATCCCCCTAGCAAATACAAAAGGAGGAGATGCGGGGCTGTTCAATGAATAAGAAAAAAAAAAAGTTAAATCAAAACCTGTGGGGGTAATTCAAAATAGGTGCTACATGCAAGAAAAACACCAATACATGTTCTGCATTTTTATATGTACAGGCCCAAGTTTTACGTATATTAGTAAACACGAAGAACTGTAATTATAGTTCTTTATAATTAATAGTCAATAGTATACATTTATAGAGCTTTGGTGATTAAGACAAAAATCAACTAGACTTGTCTCCTAAAACTGTATACTTTACTTTTTAAAATTTTCATTACATTTATTTTTAACGTTTTTGCAAACACCTGTGTAATCAGCATATCTTTAATCTTATGTATATGTACAACATACATATGTGCTTTCTAGCCTTTTTCAGGAAATCATCATATACTCTAAAAAGTGAAAAAGAAGTACACTACATGATTCAGTAGCTTGTAGAACTACTTTTTAGCAGAAATGGCTTTACAGCTTTCATCAGAATTTTTGTCCACCTTTCTGTGCAGGTTTGCTTCAGTTCATTGAGATTTGCAGACATTAATTTCTGCACAGCTCTCTTTAGGTCCAACCAGAAGATTTCAGGCTGAAGTCTAGACTTTGACTGGGTCACTACAGCATTATTTCTTTGCTTCACTTTGCCCTTCTGTTGTAGATTTGCTGCTGCGCTTGGGATTATAGTCCAGTTTCATGACCCGGTTTCAGCCAAGCTTAAGCTGTTGATCACCT